TGGCAAATATACAGCATTTCAAGCTAAGCAAATAGGTTTTATTGACCACTTAGCTTGAACAAGGTCGTAATAAGGATGCTCTGCTCCGATTATGTTTGTCATATAATAAACAAATGTTTAGCACGTTCTACCCAGAATCAAAAGGGATTTCCTCTTAAGCAGCATCAACAAGAACATTCCTACAAACCCATTCGATGACTGGAAATAACGAATCGCTGCCATCTTTCGATAGGATCTAGCTTCAAATCTCTTTTAACAAAAAGAGGAAGTTAGCTCAACCATTAGAAGTCAAGATATTCCTCGAGAACTAACTTGTCTGCGAAAATAATTCATTAGTATATTGTATTAATTAGTATAGATACAGTAGCTTTTGGTACATCAAACTTTTGCTCTAAGTTTTACTCATATTCTCATTCTAAAGAATAAATGCAATTTCTTTGTTTTAACACTTTTATATATAAATTAAGCTTTCATACCCTTTGTATCTGTTCCTTCCAGGCTCGTATTAAATATTCGCCGTGACCTAGAAGTAAAGTCAATTTATTTGTTTGGACTATAGTCTAAATAATTCTTTTTTACCCATTATATCTTATTATAAAGACGAATTTTTATTATTATGACATTTATATCTATCTTCATTCTTCTTTATCTTCTCTTAAGATTCAGACTTCTGTCTAATGAAAGTTTACAAGTGATAAGCAAAAGAGGAATTTATCTTCCCTCACTTCAGATATCACATTATCTCAATGCTTATTTAAATTATTCATCCATATTTCTTGACTTTAGTCTCAAACCTCCTATGTAATCCCTGCAATTCTTTGCGCGTTGGTTCCCAAATTGTTTTGTTCTTTTGAGAATGCTGCCTGTCTAGCTGAATACATCACATTGCTATTCTGATATTGAATAAAGAAACTATAAAAACAAGGCTACTAATTAAATTGGCCTAGGAAAGTAAAATTATATATATTTAACATATTTTTACATTTTCAATTATTTATGGCTCCAAGTAAATCGTTGCAACCGACATATTCACTTTATCAACTAAGCAATAGCTCCCAATGCCTTTTTAGACAACTATTAGTCCCTCCTTCATGATACCCTTTTCTGTCTAAACGAAATTTTTTAAATACTAAAATACTAAATAAGGTGGAGGTGTCGCATGTAAACTTCAAAAAACGTATTAAGTTTAACCTGTTTGCTCAAGTATTTCTCCAATACTTTAAAAAAAAGTGCTTCCATAATTATTTGGGCTCAAATTAATTTTTTTACGTCTTATATCAAGGCGCCTACTTCGTTCAATCTATTCACTATCATGAGCGTGAAGCGTTCTGTGACGCAGCTGTCAGATTGTGTTGAGAATATAAGAAATGTGTGCATTCTGGCGCATGTTGACCACGGTTAGATTATAATAACCCTCATAAGTCTCTTATATAGGAAAGACTTCCTTAGCAGATGTTCTTTTGGCCTCCAATGGCATTATATCTTTTAGGCAGGTTGGCAAATTAAGATACATGGATAGCACAAATGCAGAGCAAGAAAGGGGCATTACCATGAAATCGAGTGTTGTTTCTCTATATTTTGAGGAGGGAGACCTATTGGGGTCTACCGGTGAAAAATCTCTTCCATATGTTATTAACCTCGTTGACTCACCTGGCCATGTCGACTTTTCCTCTGAAGTTTCTACTGCTGTTCGACTTTGTGATGGAGCGATAATTGTAGTTGATGTTGTAGAAGGCGTGTGCCCACAAGTTCAGTT